TCCGGTTCCCAACCCCCCTGCCATAGGCAGGGACGACTTCCACTAGACCACGTTGCTCAAAGCCCCATCCAACCTGGCCTTGAACACTTCTAGGGAGAGGGCAGTCGTAACTTCTCTGGGCAACCTGTTCCAGTGTCTCAACTGTCACAGTAAAGAATTTCTTTCTAATAACTAATCTAAATCTACCCTCTTAGAGATTAAAGCCATTCCCTCTTGTTCTATCACTACATGCCCTTGTAAAAGTGTCTCTCCAGATTTCTTGTAGGCCCTTCTCTGGTACCAGAAGGCTGCTAGAAGCTTTCCTCTGAGCCTTCTCCAGGCTGAAGGAGCCCAACTCTCTCAGCCTCCCTGCATATGAGAGGTGCTCCAGCCCACTGGTCATCTTGGTGGCCCTTCTCTGGACTTGCTCCAACAGGTCCACGTCCTTCTTGTGTTTGGGGCCCCAGAGCTGAATGCAGTTCTCCGAGTGGGGTCTTATGAGAGCAGAGTAGAGGGGGACAGTTGCCTCCCTCGACCTGTTGGTCATGCTGCTTTTGATGCAGCCCAGAACACGGCTGGCTTTCTTCACCCTGTCAAGGTTCCTCTGGATGGCATCCCTTCCCTCCAGTGTGTTGACCACAGCACACAGCTTGGTGTCATCGGCAAACTTGCTGAGGGCGCACTCAATCCCACTGTCCATGTCACCAACAAAGATGTTGAACAGCTCTGGTCCCAGTACTGACCCCTGAGGAACATGCTCATCTTTGGTGTCCACCTGGACCTTGAGCCATTGACTGCAACTATTTGAGTGCAACCTTCTAGGCAATTCCTTATCCACTGAGTGCTTCATCCCTCAAATACACGTCTCTTCAATTTACAGACGTGGATGTCATGCAGGACAGGATCAAATGCTTTTGCATGAGTTCAGGTAGATGCATTTGGGCAGGTTTTCTGTGGATAATCCAGAAAAATGCTTAAAAGTGCTTCTCCTTTAAAATTGGTACTTGGGCAGTATTAATATGGTCAGTAGGAAGAGGATTCTGCCACTGGAATGGGATTACTGTGGTATATCCTGAAGTCGTTGGAAAGGCTCCCCATGGTTTCAGTGGATGGGCCCTGGGATGTGGAGTAAGGAGAACTGGAAAGAGGGCTGAGAAATTGCATATTGTCTTTTTATCATGATTGAGACTCAGTGTTACAGCCTTTTGCCAGATAGTTTGAGTAGGTTAGAGAAGAGAGTAAGGAAATTAAAATTAGGGAATGAATGACAGAAGGGAGTATTATTTTTCTAGTTTTGTAGTTGATAAACCATTAAAGAAGTGTGTAGGGCAGTAGGCTCCTAAAGCTGCATGGTATACCCTTTCTAGAAAGGGTATCTGCAGCGGTGCTGCTCGCTCTTAAAGATGCCATTTTTGTCAGTGTTTCTTGGGGAAGAAAATTAGACTTTTTATTGTTTCATTGCTGTAAGTAAAAATAATGAAATGGGAAGCAAATAACTTCCCACTCTGCATGGGAAAACACAACCGCCCCCTAATTTTTGCTTCAGAATATCAACGTATCTATTGAAAGTATAAACTGATGTTTAAGCAATTGCAGTTCTATAACTACACAATTGGGGTAAACACTGAAAAAGATCATGTGTGTGTTTTTAATTACTGTGGGATGCTTTTCTTCGCAGGTAAGTGCTCTCTTTAATTTCAGAGTAAGAGTTGATTTGTGGTTTGTTTGCCCTTTTTTTTTTTTTTTTTTTTCTTTTCCCCTCTGTAGAAACATGAAGATACAGACTGCCCGTGTGTCATGGTTTCATGTCCTCATAAATGTAGTGTTAAAACACTCATGAGGAGCGAGGTAAGAAGTCATTCCCTGTGTTGTGCTGAAAAATTAAATAACTTTTGAGTAAGATCTCGCAAGAATTTTGCCAGAAGCCATTTTCTTATTAAAATGTGAGATCTAAAGAAAGCTTTTTCTACCACACAGTTAAGTGTGATAACACACAAATATTTTTAATGATTTCTTGAGAAAACTATTTAAAAAGATGTAGTTTCTGAGATTTGTGTTATTATTACACTTGGCTTGCCCAAGATTAGCGCATGTCTTTCCTGCTTTCATTTTTATTAGCTCTTCCCCTGCACTTCCCCCATTTGAAGTATTTGTTGAGCACAGTAGAGCAGCATCTTGGGTAGTTAGCTTATATTAAAATAAAAAGAGGGAGTTAATATTTAGTGCACATGAATAGGAGTTAGTAAAGACTAGAAAAATCATATAAATGTGTAGAATCATTCAATGGAAAAACTTAAGTTATTATTAATTCTGTTAAATTTGAGAAAAAATAATAACTGACACACAGAATTAGTGTAAGATACAGAGTAATATCGGTACAAAGTTCCAACAGCCAGATGAAACAAGGCATAAAAATTTCTCTGAATTTATAGAAGATTGTAGGAATAATATAAAGACCAGATTTAAAAAAATAATAAAAATATTTTCTTGTTTGAACAGATCTATGTTCTTGTGCATTAAACGACTTAAGTAGCATCTGTCAGATTTGATGTGTTATTTTTTTTTCTTAAAAATAGAACTTATTCTCCAAGGATGGGGAGGAGCTTATTTAAGTCTTCAGCTCTCTGTAAGCCTCATTTAAAGAAAGTTAAGTTTCTGATCTGAGGATAAGCTTTTGTCTTTTCTCTGATACTTACTTCTTTATTTGGATTTCTATGATTTTTTAGTTACACTTGTAAATTATTAATCAAGTTGTACTGCACAAGGCACATAAGGCACCTGCCAGGCACAGAGGTAGTCTTTTCCCCCAGGATAATGAAATACGTGGTTGATACTGTACCTATTAAGAGAAATTGAGCAGCTAAGAAAAGAAATAATATATTTACTGAGCCAATTCTATGAGTGCTTTCTTCCAAGTTTAGATCCTGGTTCTGGAGCACTTAGGCATATTCTTACATCTTCAGCGGTTACTTTGAGGTGTATCTGAGTGCTAATAGGAATTGACCCATTAAAGCCTGGGTTGTTACACATGTAGTCAGAATTGGGTTCTGAAACCACCAGTAGCAACAGAACTTTAAACAATCATCTTGCCCTGCATCATCTGTTGCTGTATGCTGCTTAATTTTTTTCTGATACTGTGAAAATGTGATATTATTTAGCTGCATGGTTAGGGACAATGACTCTAATGTGGAAAATGGGAAAATGCCTGCCTAACAGTTTGAGAAAATTCTGTAGTGTACAAAAAATGAATATCTTACTGTAGAATAAAAGGTAATTTTTCATGTTTAATTCATAACTCTTTGGCAGACTTCTAGTTTGAAAAGTTGAAAATGTGGCATTCTTGTGAAGCCTGTTGTACCACATGTCTCTCTCTTATTTGGTCTTATCTTTTTTCTGAACCACCTGTCTTTTGAAACTACATTGTGAATTTCTGCAGATAGTGTTTAGAACGTAATAGGTGTGTATCAGAGATGAGTGACTGATTTAATCTCAGATTTTAAAGACTGTCCTGTCTCTTCCAGAGCTGTGTCCAAAGCAGCACTGGTTCACTACCTCTTTCCATGGAGGTGGATGAGCTGAGTCATGTGGGGCTTATGGTATGGGAATTTCAAATGAGTTTTTGAAACCCAAGAGTGGTGCCAGCTGAGGAGCTGTGCTCTAGCGCCTGTCTGCTTTGTGGGAAATACGAACTGCAGATCATGTTTTTGAAGAGGGAGTGTTTATTGCACTACCCCTTCCAGAAATGACTCTTGCTCCAACTTTTGGGCAGTTTGCATCCAGCTGCTGCCCTCTGTGCTGCAATGGCTTCCGTCTGTATATATGTATATGCTTCTGTGAATTGGTTCATTTTTAAATGAAAAGTGGTCTGTGCTCATAATAATCCAAGATACTGGAATAAATCTCAATCTGTGAAAAATGCAGGCATTTTTACTGATCAGTTTTACTCCTGTGTACTGCATTTTTTTTTTTTTTTTGAAGTTACTGAACTGTACCTATTCCAAAACCCTTTGTCTGTTTCATACAGTACTTGTTTAGTCTTTTTTGTGTAATTTAACTGTTAAATTCAGGCATGGAGAGAATTGCATGTTATGTTTTGAAAAATTGGTTCCTCATGAAACTAGAATTAGAAGAAATGTACTTTACTACAGTGAAACTGATCTTAAGACTTGTTCAGAACACCAGTAAAAAATCACTTGTTGAGAAAAGATTAGCCATTCACTAAAGTAAAATGAAATCAGATAAATAATAGTAGAGTGTGGGGGTTTTTTTTTTGTTTGCCTTTTTTTTTTTTTTTTTCTAACTGGGTTGCCTATTGAAATAGTCTTTAGTAGAAGTTTCACTGTATATTAAATGTATCACACTGTATACTGTATTGGCATGTGCGTGTGGTTTACATATGTGTATATATATAGTATTTGCACTTCAGACTGGAGAAAATATACACACATGTATTGTATGTTCTGCAAATGGCACACAATACAAACCTGATAACCTGTGCCCTTTATGTTTTGAGCATTATCATGCAAACGTCTTTTGCCAAAACTCACATTTTTTTCCTATTGCAGTTGAATGCACATTTGTCAGAATGTATTAATGCCCCAAGTACCTGTAGTTTTAAGCGTTATGGCTGCACTTTTCAGGTCAGTATATAACAATTATACTTCCCAATTGATGAAAGTCTGCAAATAGAACCTAACTCTTTGACATTAAAGTTCTGGACTTCTCTAGTCTTGGTTAAGAAAAAGTGATCCAGTTGCACCAAGTGATTATGCAGCAGATGTTTGGTTTTGCATTTTAAAAATAAACAATATAAAAAGCCCACACATTCCTGTAGTGGTTTGGGAGTTCATTTATTACGTACATCTTGTTGAAATAGGAAGATGATACATTTGAAGAACTTTTAAACTTAGAATAAAAGGAAAGTTACTTTTGTTCTTCAGAAAATAGACTAGTAACTTCAGTTGTTTCTATGAAAATACGTAATTTCTTGAGCTAAGTATGTTTATATTTTCTCTCATTTGTGTGTCTTAGTATTTTTATTAAGGTTAAGCATAGGTTAACACACTTAACATGTATTTTTATGTGCATTCGTATGTCTCTGTGCACATAGGTGTATAATCAAAGCATAGCTTGAAATTTTAAAAAAGTTGTAGGTTTTAATCCTGGCAATCCCTGCAATATTTAAAAAAAATTATGTAAGAAAGGCAAACCTCAGAGTTTAGTTTCAGTATTTTTATTCCCGTCTCTTCCAATATTCTGCTTCCCTTATCATATATCTTGGGGAATTTGGATGCTTATATAATGAGAATTAGGAATCTTCAGAAACTGCTGACAGGAAAATACGGAGTTTATCTGATAGTGTGATTCATTTGTTTGCCCATGACAACTTTGAGAGACAAAAACTGTAAGCAGCAACACTTCTCAAAAAATTACTTCCTGCAGGTATTTCCAGGTTCTTAAATAACGAGCATTCATCATTTTAAGAGTTAACAGTAATGCTCTTAATGGTAGAGCTGATCAATGCCGTAACCCTGCCCACTGTTATGTCGTATGTATTGCCATTCATTTTATGTATGTATATGTGTGCATATATGTACATATATCCACATATATATTTTTAGTAATTTATATAGAGTACATACCTTGAGGATCATTGAAACCCTTTCAGTTGCTCTGTAGCATATCTACCATCAAAGCTAATATACTCTGCATTGCAAAACACTAACTGAAGTAGGTGTAATGCAGCAAAATACAAACAAAGTAGTATGGTCTGCATCTTATGTACTCTGTATATTATCTATGTGTGTTCTGTAAACTTTTTATATAGTGGTTATTTGTAACAGCATTTCTAGGTTGTGCAGAGGCAGCATATCCAAATATCATAGAGCAATCATGGTAACATCTTAAGATGACAAACTAGGCATTGTAATATCTCTCAAAATAGTTTATAAAGCTGGCAGTTTCCAGTGATGATAAATTTATCTTAAATATTTGTCTTTAATACTCAACTGAGGGAAAATTTAGTGCTTATGAAGCTGTTCATGAAATACAGCAAAAGTTTGACATTACGGTTTGGGGAATTGGACTTCTTAGGTTTTGTATGACTCAAGAGTTTTATTGTGCTTTATTTAATGTAAAGCTACACAGAAGACTCTAAAATACAATTCACTTTGTAAATCTTGTTCATCTTTATTGTCTCTGATGTATCAAGCACAGTGGATAGAGATATATGGCACCTGCTATATGAAATGTGTTCCTGACTTTTGTAAATTCCCGAGTAGATTTCCCTTCTCTCTACAGTTCTGCAACATGCATCCGTGAACCAAAATATGTAGTGTTGGTTCGATGTCTTGATATACTCTTTCTTTATAGGTTTAAAAGGAGTGGAATTGGCTAAAATGTATAAATTCTTTGTTGTCACAGGGAACAAACCAACAAATTAAAGCACATGAAGCCAGCTCAGCAGTGCAGCATGTTAACTTATTGAAAGAGTGGAGCAATGCTCTAGAAAATAAGGTATATCTTCTACTCACTTCTAATTTTCATTGATTTCTTTAAATCATAAAAGTACTGGAAGAAGCGCTTTTATTTCTGTTTAACAGCTGTTCAACAGTACAGCTAAAGCACTGGTAGGCTCCAAAAGCAATCAAGCCATTTAGCATATCTGGTCCCTTTGTTATAATAAAATGCTGTGAGAAACTTGGCTTCACAACTCCATATACTTAATTAAAACACTTTCTTCATGTAGATAAAGTCCAGTATTAAAATTCTTCTCAGAACTGCCTTCTTACAAAAGGGAGGGTTCAGAAAGCTGTGGCAGCTATGAGCTGTATTTTTGCTACCTCAGTATTTTTCCAGAGATAACATTATTAGAAATACCATGTAATAAACCAGTAATTTTATTTGTTTTTGTTCTTTCTTGCTCTCCAAACTTAATGACCTGCAAAGGTTAATTAAATTAAACATACTATAACTTCTGGGCATGATGATTTCTACTTTTGTTCTAGACCAGAATGAAGTTCACATTGCAGTGCTTCTTTGGGACTCCTGGTTTTAGACCATTTGCAATTTGGCAGGTGTTGGAAATCATATCAGTATCAACTATGATTTATTATGTAGATGACTTAGCCATCTGTCTGCAAATAAAATTTAAGGCTTTGTTACACAAATACAAAACTTCAGAACAAATCACTGTTTTGAGTTTAGCAAACTCTGCCTAATAAGCTTATTCCCTTCTTGGCCTACAGTGATCTCTTGTGCATGGGTTTCCAGCAAGGTACTACAGCCACAGAAAGTACAGTTTTAAAGCAGAAGTTAACAGAAACAGCAAAATGTGATTTTGGTTTTTGACCCCAGCACATGTCCCTGGACTGCTTGTTTTTGAACTTAAGGTCCCATGAGGAGACCACTGAACCTGGGAATGGTCTAGTGTAGTTTTTTTTTTTTTAGGTAGAATTTTCCTAGATGTGTAGGTCTTAATTTTGATGATCCATAACAATACTCAAGTTTCCTTTTGCACTTAAATCTCTTTGTTTATGTGGGAACTGTACACTTACTGGTTTTAACAGATCTTTAGTTCTTTTTTCATTAGTCTTGGTTAAAACTATACAATTTATCTTACATCATAGCAAAAAACCCCCACAAGTTCCCTGTGACTTACAAAATAGGTTATGTTCTGCCTTTTGTCAGTGTCCTGAGAGGCTCTTTGTCATTTAAAAAATGCCCAGCAGTTCTGTGTTTGTCTCTTAAAAGAGCTAAGAGAATATACACTTTACTACTCTTATGTTCAATTTTTGTTTTAACTTTCATTTAGGACATAACTTCTTGTCATTGTTGTCCATTTATTATTTTTTTTTCTTTTCACTTCCTGCTTTGTAGACTTCTTCCTATTCATAATAAAGAGTTGAATCACTGGAAATCCCAAGACCATGCCAAGTTACCAGAATAGCTAACCACATATCATATGTCAATGACTTTATTCTAGAGAAGGGTAACAAAATGATTGTAACTTCATTTGTTGTTCTCTTCTTTGAGAAAAAATTAATCAATGCACAAGGACAGCAGTGCAGAGTTAATTTAGCTGATGAATATCACAGAAATCTTGGCCTTGCTGAAGTCAGTGGAAGTCATGTTGGTTTCTGTAGGGTCAAGATTTCATTTGGGGTACTCATTGTGATGTGTATGGAGGGGAAAGGAGAAGTTGCCTTCTCCCAGTCATCATGTTCTTTAACAGTGCTTGTGGATTACGCAAACTGAAAGACTTCAGAGCTGCAAAGCTTGTGCGAAGTTATCAGTTTAGTATTTCAATGGTGCTGTTGGCAAAGAATAGTAAGAGAAGCTCAAATGTAAAATCTTGCATCAAAACCTTGTGGTACAAGTTAAAACTTCATGCTTTGTTCACTCTGTGATGGGGCAGATTTCCAGACTGAACTCCCACAGGTTTTGTGATGTTGGAAATAATGAGTTGAACATAAGCCTCTCTTAATGTGACTTTGTCACATTCTTAAAGAAATCTGGTATAAACTGTTTTTTCTTTTTTAATACATAACTTAAATATGGGACCTGTTTTAATCCAGTTCTTTGTGGCGTGAAGTTTCTTCCATTCTTTTTTAGTAAGCAATAATAAGGAATAGCTAATTTGAAAACCTGCAAAATAGAGCATGCTTTATCCTAGCAATGTTTAAGATATGACAAGGAAATAAAGGAAGTTGAATGATGCAGTTTGTAAATAGATGCTGTTTCCTTTACTCTGTTTTTTTTTTAACTGAAGTTCCAAATACTTATGCCAGATGCAATTAGAAGATTATATTTAGAATTAAAGATTTCTTATTCACAAATTACCGCCAAATTACAATTACTAGCTTAGCAATGACAGATGACTGAGGGCTGCAGGACATAATTCTATTTTTCTTGTGTTCTGTAAAACTGCGTGGAAAATCTCAGTACAAGACAGGCCCATGTTTTATAACTTGTACAAAAATGGAAATGTAATGCTAGTGACACTGAGTGTAACTGCCTTATGATTGGGAGGCCTGGGGAGGAAACAATGAGAAAAGGGGAATGTAAAGATCACAGTTAACTAAAGAACTCTGATTCATTAAGGAAAAGGAGGATACAAGAAATTGAAGTGGCTACCCAGATCTGAAGTATGTGGGAGGCAAGGATGCTAATTTAAATTTAAATTTGTTCTTGAAAATTTTCTCTAGTACCTAGCCATGCATTCCTTCAACCTCAAGATTGTTTCTCTCTCTGCAGTGGCAAAAATAGCTTTGTCTCATTTCTGTTGAGCCTCTTCTGCCAGTTTTTCCATATAGAAAATGGGGAACTAATGTATGTGTGTATATGCACACATGCTATGCTATGTTGAAAAGTAGATACATATGTGTTATGGTATCTGTATTTTTGGGCCTCTGTCTGATGAACCTGCTGAATGCCTATGGACTTCAAAAGTCTTGTCTAGTTTTGGCTAGTATAGAGGTTGAAATTATTTGCCTTTTAAACGGGCTTGCTTCTGGAGTCTAGGAATGTGATTCGATAGTAGTGATATGTAAGTGATTCAACTATGTCTGATTAAAGGGCAGTTAAGGTTGGTGAAATTCTACAGTGGTATCCACATCAGAATTAAAAGTGGCTTGAGCTCACGGTAGCATCAGTGTTGGTGGTGGTGGTGGTGTATATTTTTGGGGGGAACATGAAGCATCCAAGTGGTCTTGATGTGGAGCATTTATCAAGATTTTCCTGGGTCAAAAATGGTGCTACTTGTTATCCATATAAAGATCTATCTGGGGAACCAGTCAAGGTATTTCCAAATGTAATCTTGCCTGGGGAAAAATAATACTTTTTCTTTAAAAAAAAAAAAAAAAAAAAAAAAAGGCATCCCACCACCACAAAGCGACCCCTTTCCTCAAACCACATCAATGAACAGAGCACAAAATACTGTGGCAGAATATTTACTGTATTACATTCATCCCCAAGGAACAGATGTTATGTCTAACAAGGCTCATGTTTTAAAATCAGAATGAGTCACTAATGAATGAATTCATAGAATGTCAATACAGAGAGAGAATATAATCCTCTGCCTGTAGCTTTTTAGTCTTGTGTACTAGTAGGCACCATTGGATTTTCCTTCAGATATGTGGATCCCTTATGTATTCACTCATTTCAGGAGTTTTCATCACCATCACATTTTGTGAAGCCAAGACAATCCCATGCAGATGATGTTTTTCCTTAAATTTGTTATAGATCAGGATAGATTACAGTAGGTGGGGAAGATTAATGTTCCCCTTCCTGACTAGGTTTTCACCTGCTCAGCTTCTCTCTGGTATCCCTTTCTGTGCTGGGCTTGGGTTCTTTACACTGGTCTGGAGCTAAATAGGTTAATTCTTCCAAAATCCAAGCAAGTCCCAAGTCAGTCAGTGGAAACCAGGAAACCAAGCCATTAGATAACAAACTGAATGAAGAAAATAATATGCTTTGAGAAAGTTCTTTTGCTGTTTGTGTATTCCATCTGCACTTTCATTAGCTGAAGTTGTACCAATACCACACTGTGGAAGTGCAAAAGTAGCTATCAGAAGGTTGGGGTTTATTTATTTGTTGATTTGCAAGATATGAGAGAGATTTTATTAGGATCTCATCCCCTTCATATGTGTAAGATAGTTTAAAACTAACAAAGTTATAGGTATTTTTAATAAACTTTTGGCAGGAGTAATTGTAGAATTTTTTCCAGGTGGCCTTGCTCCAGAATGAAAGTTTGGAAAAGAACAAGAGTATACAAACTTTACATAATCAGATTTGTAGCTTTGAAATAGAAATTGAAAGACAGAAGGAAATGCTGCGGAATAATGAATCTAAAATACTTCACTTACAGGTAAGAAATTTAGAATCTCCCCATTGAAGCAGAAATGGTAGTAGCTTCTGTTCTGTGCCTTTACACTTGTGAAGTGAGGTGTTCTAATTAAAAAGGGGGAGAGGGAGTTTACTGTATTATAAAGCTATTGTAATTATTCCCCCTGGCCCCGGTCAGTAGCTGGTTTATTTGTCAGAGTAAGATACTTCACTATCTGCAGCTGCCTAGCCTATGTTAAAACAAAACCCCCTGTTTAAAAGGGAAAAGATTGAAATCAAAATAACAAATCTTACCTGAGGAATAATCCCAAACTATTTTGATTTCTCTGCAAAAAAATAACTGCTTGAGGAACTACTGTCAGACTGGAGAACTGGAGAACAAGATTAGCATATGTATAATGTATATTTCTTTTCTACTTGCTGGTATTTTAAAAAATATCATGAGTGAGATCAGTCTGGTATGGAATTAATCTGAATGTAGTACAATGCATTTGAATCTATGTTTCTGTTGTCCTTCATCTGAGGAAAATGTATCTAACTTAATTTTAAATGTAATTAATTAAATTAATTAATTTAATTTTAAATGTATCTTTGGTAGTAGGTCTGAGTTTCTTATTCTGTGGTCTGAATCACCTGGCTACGAACCAGCATCAAACTAGAAATTCTCTGGATGCTCTAGTGTGGTGCTTAGCCCAAGCTGAAATACTTTGCTTTTCATTCAGAGCTGGCTTGGAATGTGGATACTGGGAATTTTGTGTGAGCTTGTGTGATACTAACTACAATTAGGGAAACCTCAGGAGATATTTAACAAACTATTGTGAAAGTATCATTTACATGTTATTTTAGCATGCTTTCTGCTAGAATATCAGATAGCTGTTTCAGCATCCAGCTTAAATGAATGTAAATAAAATGATCTTTTTTCACTTACTGTTCACGTCACATGAAAATGCGAATGTTGATACTCAAGAAAGGTATAGGTATCCAACCTAGAGTAAGGCTAAATTCAAAGGATAGCACATTCAAGAGCTCAGAGTCTTGAGGCCCATAATGTTGATTTATAAGGAAACCTTTAAATTTGGCAATAGCAATATTTCTCCTTATAGCACTTATTGCTTTCCATGTTCTGCCTATGTAGTATCCAGTTTAGCCTGCCTAAGTCATTGTTATTTGGTCCGGTGATAGTCTGGGGTATGGCTGCATGCTTACAATATTGCATTCTGACACTGGGAAGCTAATCTTTGTATGTATTGATATTGCTGATTGAATCTACCACGAGGTAAGTTAACTTGTTAGCCTGGGGTTTTTACACATGCTGTCTCAATAACCAGTGATGAAAGTGGAAATGGAAAAAACATAGAACAGAGTTTTTCATGATTGCCTTGATGACAGATTGCAATATCTTTGATTTCCTCAAGCTGTAAGTGTTAGAAAAATTGATTTTCAAATGGTTTATGTTTAGGAAAAAGCCCACAGAACAATATGGCTATCAGATTCCAACAGGTAGCTTTTTGGTGGTAATAAATACTAGAGAGGATGTGTTTTGCTCTTTATATTTTTTTTTTTCTCCCTCTCTTCCTTCTTCCCCCTTCCTCTTTTACTTCTTCTCACCAGCTATTTTAGTTTAGTTATTTTAAGCCGAACTGTGTGTTACAGCTATTTCAGCCTGATTCCTTCCACTTACTGTAACTTCCTGGTTCAGTCAGGTTGCTAAGGACATCCTAGAAACACACCTCAATATAATTAGCCTCATTCTGTTGCCTACTAGGTGCTGAAGGAATTGGTTACCTGTTGTGAGCCATTCTTTTTCTGAGTTGTGTTCAGCAGCCATGGCTTTACAAGAGCCACAGATGTTTCCAGTGTAGAAGTAGCCAATTCAGGTCTAGGCGAGCAATGCTTGCCTAGTCCCCCAAGTCCAATGCATGCTAGTAATTTCTAGTACCATTTTGGTATTAGTTGTCATGTAACCTTCTTTGGCTTGGGAACAGCTGTTTCACTGGCATCATCCACACTGTGAGACGTTTAACAAAACTAGTGCATCAAAGGTATCTGGGCACTGTTGGGAACCTCAGCCTTGAGATGTTTTGATTCAGGTTCATGTTCTATATACTGGTCTCAAGGAAAAGTATTTTACTAAGAGAGTACGTGAGATACTTTTTCAGCTGCTGTCTTGTGGAAAGGAAATTTGGCATCGAGCAACCAGTGTGGGTAGAATATGGATGGATAGTACTAAGCAGTCTTACGCTGAGTGTGGACATGAGGCACTTAAAACCAAAAGAAACAGTGACCATATTAGTATAGAATGATTTGATTGGTAGTACATTCTTTCAAAGGAGGAGGATGTATGATTTGTTTTCCTAGTCAAGTACTGCCTTTGATAGCTTTTTCTAGGATGTTCTTTAGCTTTTTGGTTTTTCTCCATCACTTGCAATCGAAAAGTCCATTAGGAGCATCTGAAAGAGAACTGCAAATATAACTTTCTCCAGTTCCTCATGATGTGTTCTGAATTCTTGTAGTAACAATAGTGCTAAAATTCTGGAAATTGTTCTATTAGAAATACCAAACAAAACCTAGATGAAAGTCAGCATCAAGAAGAACCCTCAGTGGTTTGCCAGGCATATAACCTGGGTTAATGATCTGGAGAGGTCAGTTGCTGGACTAAAAAATGCATGCAGAAAATTGATATGTACTTGAGAATTTGAGTACAGTGTGAGACATCTGTGTGCTTTTTAATGGAATAATTAAGAGTGAAATTCTCCACATCAGTGTCACCCAGCATGAGGGAGGTTGACTCCCTGTAGGGTAAGAAGATAGAGATCCAAATGCTTTTTAAAAATGGAGTTCAAGTCTTATTTCTGATGATTCTGTATCTCTTGAATTCTCATGAAGAGGAGATAAAATACTACATGCATAGTAGAATGCATAGTAGAAGCAGCTAAAACCAGAATTGTTTCTGCATATAGAAAGGTAGAATATTGCACGCAGGTTAATAGAGAGAAGCTGGTGCCTAGTGACTACTTCTAGTAAACTTATCCCAGAAGAATAGTTTACAATTCTCTGCATCTGTACTGCTTTCCCAGTTCATCTAAAAATGTATTTATTCGTTTTGTTTGATACTGTGTTAGCTCCAGGAGGTCCCAATTGGAAATAAGAGCATCTCTGTGCTGAGGCACTGAACAAACCCGTAACTATGTTACTGTTCTTGCCTTGGAAAGTTCATGTTTTGTGTGAGTAGAATTAAAAAGATCAGACGTGGGCACAGCTTGAGTTTACTGCTGCATGTTAACTGTGAACTAATGGTCAAGTCTTGTGGCTTGGCTCTTAAAATGTTCATTCAGGCCATTCTATGGTGATTTTCCTTTTATATGTATAGCTAACAGCCCTTCCCTATTTTATTTTCTGATTACCATCAGTCCAAGTGATGAAAGAGAATAACTGTGTTGGTAGCGGATAATTTGTACATCCAAGCAAATTGCTTTATCTGTTTAATAGGATCATACCCCTGCATTTATGATTCAGTACACAAGTTTCATTCACAAAGCTGTAATTTTGCAATGTGCTTGTTTTAAAACACTAACATAGAAATAAATAGTTAACCTTGAAATATATTAGATTAATTACTTGGTGGTTTTGAGACACAACAAAAGAAAACACTCCTAGAACCTGATTTGGCTAGCTGGCTGATCAAACTGACAGCCTTCAATTAATCGTTACAGACTTTCAGTGTATCTGAAAACACATGATTAAAAGCAAATGCCTAAAAGGGGAAATGAAGGTTGCATGAGGCAGAAGGGCTTTCCCCATCAGTGGGGAACTTCGAATCCACATGGCTAACCAGAAGGCAAATGCAAAATAACTTTATTTTCTTGTTTTGTACTCAACTGCTACTTTTTTTTTTTCCCCTGAGGAAGTGAGAAATCATTTTTATACATGTTGGCACTGGATGATAATAAAATGTAAAGTCAGACTTGAAATTTAACTGTAGGTGGTAGCAAAAGTAGTTTCTTATCTCAAATATTTCTATCATTTGAACTTCACAACTGATTATGGGGTTCTGGCTAAAATTCCTGCTAGTCCAAATTAGCTGTGATAATGTGAGTGCTATGTATTTCTTCCATCAGATTTGAGGCAGACTAGGAAGTATGTTCTTTATATTTCTAGCATACGGAGGCGCTTGCATTGTCCCTCTTCCATAGAATACCAGCCTTCCTATAAATTTTTTTCTTGAGTATTATATTTCATGTCTTTCCAAAACCAATTGTATGGCATTTGCTTGTTTGTTTTTCTTAAGATGAGTCAACCAACAAGCCCCTTCAGCATGCATGGCTTATTCGTTTTAGGAAGTAATGGTGGGAATTTTAAAAGTGCTTAAGTGGACAGAAGTGGTAGTTTTGCTTACACTCTTAAGGGCTTCTGCTATGGTTATGGGCACGTAATAAGTTAGGCTTTGATAGCTGATTTATGTAAACTTGGAGCTTGCTAATGCTGCTGTATCTGCACATACACATACTCCTGCTCCATGTCTGCAAGGGTAAGTTATTTTGCTGTTACCCAGGGGTAAACACAAGCACATAAGCAGCCACTTGATTCACACCATGGTAAGTTGTTGTGCCCATGCTCTGTTAATTGAGTACTCTGACACAAAACCCAACAATTACCAGCCCATAACATCAATATAGAGGCATTCAGTATACTGTTCTTGTATTGAATGTTTGTTGTTTGTTTGTTAAATTTAGACAAGAACACAATTCCTTTTCTTTTAAATAATTGTGTTGATAATTCCGATAGTGCTGTAGTATTAATACCTATGCAGCAATAAATTTATGTGTTTTATAAATACTTGGGCTATTCCTCTAAATGTCCAAGGTTTGTTTTATTAAAACGGTTAACATCAGTGAAACTTGTTTTTATTGAAAATGCATCTTATTGATCTATAATCCCTGTTTAATTTGCAAAAAAATGATGTATTTTTCTTACTTTAACTCACATCTGTTTTATAAAGCGAGTGATAGACAGTCAAGCAGAGAAACTCAAAGAACTGGACAAAGAAATCCGTCCCTTCCGACAGAACTGGGAGGAGGCTGACAGCATGAAGAGCAGTGTAGAATCCCTCCAAAACAGAGTGACTGAGCTGGAAAGTGTTGATAAAACTGCAGGGCAAGGAGCTCGAAATACAAGTAAGTGTAAGCACAATGGACTAAAGTACTCAAGCAGTGCTGTCAAGAGAAGAATGGTGTCCTTTGAATTGCACTCCCATGGTGATTTTTGTGAAAGTGTCAGTACTACTGATTCTTATGATTTTTTTTTGTATTTTTTTTTTAAATAAAACTATGCAATCCCTTTGAAGCATTGCTTCCACACTGTTTCTTAGGCTTGATTCTTGTCTTTTTTGTTTTCTTGACCCATACCTTGATTACAGTGTTCATAGAATCGTAGAATGGTTTGGGTTGG